TCAGTTCCTTCCCGTACAGATGAGAACGAAAAAACTATTCCTGACGCACAACCAGTTTTACTCAGCCCCGAGCAAGCACTGTGCAGTAGATTGTCAGACTTCGTGGATGAACCATTTAGTCGTGCTCAGAATTATTCGAAGTCAAAAAAGAATATAATAGTCATAGGGGCGGGTCCCGCTGGCTTAACTGCAGCACGCCACTTGCAACGCCAAGGTTTTAGTGTTACGGTGCTTGAAGCAAGGAGCAGAGTAGGTGGCCGTGTTTTTACAGACCGCTCGTCTTTGAGTGTTCCCGTAGATCTTGGAGCTAGCATCATTACAGGCGTGGAGGCTGATGTGGCAACTGAAAGAAGACCCGATCCTTCATCGTTGATATGTGCTCAGTTGGGCCTCGAATTGACTGTATTGAACAGCGAGTGTCCCTTATACGATACTGTGACAGGTGAGAGAGTTCCTGCAGATGTGGATGAAGAATTGGAAGCAGAATATAACGGACTGCTTGATGAAATGGAACTCCTGGTTGCTGAGAAAGGGGAGTCTGCAATGAAAATGTCTCTTGAGGAAGGTTTAGAATATGGGCTCAAAAGACGCCGTATGGCCCACTCTGGTCGAGATTATATGGAAACTACACCTGGTAAATCTCGAGAAGCTTCTGGTTTGGGACCTCTTGAGAGGAGAGTGATGGATTGGCATTTTGCTCACTTGGAGTATGGATGTGCTGCCTTGCTTCAAGAAGTTTCACTTCCAAACTGGAATCAGGATGATGTCTATGGAGGATTTGGTGGTGCCCATTGTATGATTAAAGGGGGTTACAGCGCTATTGTTGAATCTCTTGCAGAAGGAATTTGCATTCATTTGGACCATGTTGTCACAAATGTTACATATCGCACAATGGACTGTGAGGCAAATGACAGAAAGGTTAAAGTTTCGACTTCAAACGGCAAGGAGTTTTCAGGGGATGCAGTATTGGTGACTGTGCCACTCGGGTGCCTGAAAGCAGAGAGTATCAATTTTTCACCCTCACTGCCCCAATGGAAGTACTTATCCATTAAGAGGCTTGGGTTTGGCGTTCTAAACAAGGTAGTGTTGGAATTTCCCGAAGTTTTTTGGGACGACACTATCGATTACTTTGGCGCTACTGCCGAAAATCGAGATCAACGGGGCCGCTGCTTTATGTTCTGGAATGTTAAGAAAACAGTCGGTGCACCTATTCTTATAGCTTTGGTTGTTGGCAAGGCTGCCAAAGATGGTCAAAGTACTGGCTCGTCTGATAATGTCAGTCACGCTTTGCTTGTTCTTCGAAAATTATTCGGGGAAGATAAGGTCCCCGATCCAGTTGGAGCTGTAGTTACTGACTGGGGACGAGATCCTTACAGCTATGGTGCTTACTCCTATGTTGCTGTTGGATCATCTGGGGAAGACTATGATATTCTGGGAAAACCTGTCGAGAACTGTTTGTTCTTTGCTGGTGAAGCCACGTGCAAGGAGCACCCGGATACTGTTGGTGGTGCAATGATGAGTGGGCTACGAGAGGCTGTACGCATTATTGATATAATGAACACAGGAACGGATTACATTGCCGAAGTTGAGGCTATGGAGGCTGCAAGAAGACATTCGGATATCGAGAGGAGTGAAGTAAAGGACCTTATCAGGAGGCTAGATGCTGTGGAGTTCTCTAATGCTTTGTATAAAAAGTCTTTGGATGGATCATCTCGTGTTTCTAGCTGGGGCACGATGCTTAAGGATATGTTCTTCACTGCAAAAACTACTGCTGGCAGATTGCATCTAGCTAAAGAGTTGTTAAACCTTCCTGTTGGGTTTTTGAAGACGTTTGCTAGCACCAAAGAAGGGCTTAGCACTCTGAACACATGGATTCTGGTAAGTCCTCTATTTTGATGGTGCCACTTCCAAATTCCGTTGGTAGGTTATTTGCTATATATCTTTTGGACATTTAATGATTGATTGTTTGGAGTTTTTAACAGGATTCTATGGGGAAGGATGGAACTCAGCTTTTGCGCCATTGTGTCCGTTTACTTGTACTTGTTTCAAACGATCTGGCTGCAGTTCGCTTATCAGGTGCTTGCATGTGTCCTCTGTTTCTACCACTTGTAGTTTGGAGTGTCTTAATTGCATATCGCTGAGTCTATTTTATTAAAAAAATCATAGGGACATTTCTTTCTTGTATTTTCCTTGCATGTACTTATTTATTTATATCTTTTTAAGGGAAAGAATGAAAGTGAAAAGTGAAACTGAAATGATCAACATGCTAGGTTTTATCTACTGTGTTCTATTATGTTGGGTCTTCTGAAATAAATTTAGAAGTTCTTATGCCGTAGTTCCTGTCGTCTGTTAACATATTTTGAGCTCTTTACTTAAGGAGTGAATTATTTCTCATTCTGCATCATTTCACTCAGGTGTTGGAAAAACTGTTAAACAAAAGGTCTGTGTTCATACCAGTCGCGATATACGTGCCATAGCCTTTCAGCTTGTACGTGTGTGGGTCGAACTTTTCCGCAAGGAGAAGGCTTCTAAAGGAGGGCTTAAGTTACTTCGACAGTCAAATAGTCTGGATTCAAAGAGCAAGTCTTCTCTTGTCTCTGGAAAACCACCTCTGGGCAATGTTGAGAGCAAGGTAAAATCCAAAGCTTCTGCATCTGCTGGACATCAACTGCATTCCAGTACAAGTACTAAAAAAATGGAACCAGCTATTAATAAAAAAACGGAAGAGGATAGTCACGATGTTCCCATGTCTGAAGAAGAAAAAACTGCCTTTGCTGCTGCAGAAGCAGCCCGAGCTTCAGCCATTGCTGCTGCCAAGGTTTGCTTGTTATTCTTCATTCTCTACACTAACCTCGTGCTTTGAGCCATTTGATATCCTATTTAAAGTTTTTGTTGTGTTTCAGTGGTTCTTGTAAATGCACAACCTGTTCTTCGAAATTTTTTTATGATTTTCCTTATAATTATTTGCCTCATCAAAGATGAGACTTGGTATCTATTGGTCTGCATGTTGTACTTGTTTGGTTTGCATTGTGATATGTAAGCCCTTTTCGCCTCTTAAAATATATGTGCACTGAAGTGGTATTGTATCTGTAATCAATTATATATTGGCTCCTTTTGCTTATGAAAAATACTTACTTGATTTGAGGTTAAATATGGTCCAGAACACATTTATCTTCCATTCCCTTGGTAGCTTATAATGTCAATCTCTTCTTAAACTTAGGAATGGGGTCTTTTTTACTGCCATGCTACATGAGGTTCATTTCTCAACTATTGCTTTGTGTGCATTAGTTTTAAATTCTTGAGGCAAGTGAAAATCATTTTTTTATTCAGTTTTTATTTGATACATGGATTGTGTATGTACTTCTCCTTCTTTGTGTGGGTGTGGGATTCTTATATGGGTTTTTTCTTCTATTTCACTTCTCACCCTTTTCCTATCTATGTTTTTTCTTCTATTTCACTTCTCACCCTTTTCCTATCTATTTCCCACTGCAGGCATTAGCTTCTTCTGGTGCCCGTAATGCTTCACTACAGGCACCCAAAATTCTCTCGTTTCACAAATTTGCCATGCGAGGACAGAACACTCTCATGGATGCACCTGACAGTAGAAAGCATTGGTTCGGTGGTGCAATAGGAAGTGAAGATTGCTTAGCCGAAATAGATTCAAGAAACTCTCGGGTGAGAGATTGGTCTGTTGATTTTACAAACGAGCTCGCTGCTGATTGTCAGTCGAACATCAGAGAGCACTCTGGGGAAAATGTCGAAGTGGACGGCAACTTTCTGACTAAGGCTTGGGTCGATAGTGATGGCAGTGTGGGGATCAAAGATTACAGTGCAATCGAGAGGTGGCAATGCCAGGCGGCAGCAGCTGTCTCGGGCTTCTCTCATGGGACGATGCACTTAATTGACGAGGAGGAGTCGAACTTGAGCTTGAGGAAGCACGAGTTTTCGGCGAATGAGAGCTCAGCTTCACAAGTTACGATGAATAATAAATCGTCCAGAGGCTCTCAACTAAGAGGGGCCGATCGTCTGAAGAAGGCAGTTGTGGATTATGTGGCCTCGTTGCTCATGCCTCTTTATAATGCGAAGAAGATCGATAGGGATGGTTACAAGTCGATCATGAAGAAAGCTGCCACCAAGGTTTTTTTTTTTAATTAGTTGTATATGTTTTTTTAAATATTTTTTGTTGCAGTCATACATTTCTAATCTTTTTTGTTGATTAATATTCTATTTTAGGTCATGGAGCAAACTACTGATGCCGAGAAAGCAATGGCTGTCCACGAGTTTCTTGATTTCAAACGCAAAAACAAGGTGTGTGCATCTTATATTGATTAGATATTATTGAAACGTCTTATCTTATTAATTTTCTACACCTGGTATTTTTTTCCCCTTTTCTTTTCTTTCCATGAACTAGTGCGCAATTCATGATCGCATGGGCAATTATTATACCTTATATGAATTAAGTTGATTCAATTGACATATATAAAAATACTATTTGATATTAATTTAATTTCTTATCCTTTTTTATTTAATTTTTCATGCTGTGTAATAGTTTAATTTTTATTAATATGTGTGTGTCTAATTAATATTTCAAAGTTTTCAAAATATTATTTCAATTAATGTTATGACTTATGAGAAATTTTTAATTAATTTTAAGAAATTTTTAATTAATTTTACTTCTAGCAAGGGTACTATTATATTCATATTTTATGAATGAATAAAAGAAGAGATGAGAAGGTAGCGTTCTTGAAAATTTCCAAATTTAGAAATTTTAGCAGCAAGATGCTTCTAGTTTTAGAAAAATGTAAAATCTCCGTAATCTGTTTATATTAATAAAGATAAAAGATGTAATGATCACATTGACTGTTTTTGACGTACTTTTGCTCTAATTTTATAGGCCACCAACATGAGAAAAAATTCTCTGGAAGATATCTTAAATACACTTCATGATATGATTATTGTATGAGCAAAATGTACTTTTATTTTTTTCTTCCATTGTGACCACTACCAGTCTCTCGTTTCTTCCCCTTTTTCTGAAATCTCCAAATCCAAGAGCCTTTTTTGACTGGGAAAGTAATAGCGTGATGTTCTAGCTTTTTTTGAATGTCAGAATTAATTTAGACCCAATTGTGAAATGTAGGATTTTCAGTGTACCTTAACATTCAATGAAAAAGATCAAACCGCAACATGTTTTAATTTCAATAATTTAACATTCAGCATCATATTTATTGGTTTTTTTCCCTAATTATTTGCTTTTACATGCTATGAAATATTTCAAATCAATGTGGTCCATGCAGTGCTTACTCCTTTATTTCCATTCCTATAAGCTGCACTTATTCTGCCTTCAATTGGTTGCTAAACTTACTGTATTAAAGTTTCCTTTGAAGCTTTGAAAATCTAATTTTTCTTTTTTATTCTTAATGTTTTATACTTCGGACAGATCCGAGCATTCGTGGACTTGCTGATTGAAAGACACAAGGCCGTGAAGCCAGATGCCAAAGCATGAACTTCTGAGAAGGATGCTTGAAGAAATATGCATGCCTTTTGGTTCAGATATGACTAAATCATGACATATTAGCAAGGAGCTCAAAAGTGCGTTTTCAAGATCATTGAAAATACGTAACAATCCTGTAACATGGGGTTGCTTTTTTGAATTTGCTTATTTTAATCAAAAGAAGTGTATTTTGTAGGGTAGAAAGTGAAGACCTAACCTTTTTCACCTGAACTTAGAAGAGAAATGATTTTTTGTTTTTTTCTGACTGTGACTGTACAGTGTAGAATTCAAGTATACAGTATTCTCCTTCAGTAACACAACTTGCTCTTATCTTTAGTTTTATTTTACTGTCTTTGGGAGAAGAATTACAGTTTAAGAATAAAGTTTGAGCATGACTTGGCTGCTGGAAGGGATGGTTATGAAGGTTACCTCTCTTTTTTACCATGGCTGCGTGCCCAAAAGGTAAAATCCGACAAATTAAATTACCGGTCACGTGAAATCTGAGATGCTATGTGGGTTATTATGCGCTTCAAGATCTCTGTCTTGTAGTGCTCCACAAAATTTCTTTCTCATCTAAAGTGACATTTTCTTGTTGCTGGCGGTGATACAGATTCTGCATGTTTTGTGCTAAAGATGACTGTTCATAATCTTTCAGATCGATGCATGTGTATCTTTTCGTGGTTGTTCTTGTGGAATTTTGTATATTTATGTCACATTGAACAAAATTTTGAAGTTATGAGTGCAGATTCTTCGAATAATCAAACCACGCAGGTCTTTCTTGCTACACACATTTTTAACTTCACATTTAGGCCACAAACTTTCAGGTATGTTGATGATAGAAATTCCTTCATTTGTAGTCTGTTTATTCAACTTTTCTGTGTTTTTACATCATTGACAGATA